GTGGGTTGCTCCGAGGCCAGTGGGGATCGAACCGGCACTGCAGAGGCTGTGGACAGCTTCACTGCGCTGCGCTCAACCCACTGCGCCACCAGGCAGGCCCATAAAGCGCTTCTTAAAGGGTGAGCTCCTGGCTCTGCTCACCAGCACCGGTCGCGACAGGCGGCAGCAGCGGCCGTGTCCGGTAACAGCGGCTGGCCCCTTGCTGGAGTGGGGGTCAGCGCTGCTCTACTCTGCCGGCCGCGGGCTCAGGGCCAGGCACCGCCCCGTGAACCTCAGTTTCCTTCTCTGAGCAAGTGGGGTGATGAGCTTCCTCACCTTACAGCGCAGCACCTGCCTCACAGCACGCCCCAGGGGGCAGCAGGCATCGTTAGGGCCATCCCTGAGTCACCACTGCCCACACTCAGAGGGCAAGGTCCACAGAGCGTCCATTTCTACATCCCCAGCCAACTTCCGGGCAATAGTATCGTGAACGGTAATAACAGCGCCCCCACCCCAAGGCCGCCCTGCCCGAGCAGCCTCACCTCGCCTCTCAGCCCTCCCAGCTGGGGGTAACACACTCTTTCTTTTCGCAATTGTGGCAAAGCGCACCTCTCACAGAACGTGCCATGTAAACCATTTTCCACGTTCCGTGGCACGGAGCACTGCTGCGGTGCAGCTGTCGCGCCCTGCAGCTCTGGGGCTCCCACCCCCTCCTGCATGGCTTGTTCCCACCTGCAGGGGCCAGTCCCGCGAGCCCAACAAGGGCCAGTGGAAGGAAGCCCAGGAGCGGCCTGGGGTGGGCGAGGGTCTGTTGGGCAGTAATCACAGGCAGGGTGTGCTCACTCGGGCTAACCGGACCCTACAGGATTCTTCCAGAGCAGGACGGGCAGGCCCACGTGGGGTAAGAGCAGCCCTGGTCCCGGGTCAGGGCTGTCACACGCGGAGGTCCCGATACGCTGACGGGGCAGCATCCCTGCTCTTGGCGTCAGGGCCTGAGGAGCCTGCCCCAGAGCCTGCCCCGCGTTGGGTCCAGCAAGGAGAGGCCTTGCCCACCACAGGAGCTGCACCATTCTCCACTGCAGCCCCCCATCTCTGACAAGTGCCGTGATGGCGGCCACTCCCCCAGGACGGACATTCTCCCAACGAGGCCTTTGTGGCCCCTCAGCACTTGGTTTCCACGGCTGCGTCTCCAGAGTGTGGGACCAGGAGTCTTGGGGACGGTCTGCAGGCGGTTGTGGGCGCCCTGACTGAGTCCATGACGCCCTCTAGTCATCCTGTGGGGTTAGCCCCTCACCTGCCAGGCCCCCAGTCCTGTGCTTCCTTCAGAGGCAGCCCTGGCTGCCCCCGTCCAAAGGGGCTCCCACACCGTGAGGTCCATGCGGATGGGCCCTGTCTGGCGGGCGGGCGGCAGGCCACGGCCTCTTCCCTCAGCCCTATCCTGCCTGCCTTGACTCTTGCTTCTGCCGCTTTTGAGTCCACGGCTGAAACTGGCCAGTCCTCCCCGTGGCAGGAATGTCTTCTGTGACGGGGCCGAGGTCCCTGGCCGGCCGACAGAGCACCTCCCACGGCTCCGCCCCAGGCGCTGGGGTTTGCAATGGGTGAAAGGTGCTGGCCTCATTTTGCAAGAGGAGGTGAGGTTCCTGGAGGCTTCGGGGTGCCAGAGGTCAGTGAAGACGACACTCGGCTTCTAGGGCTACACAGTGCTGGAACCTACGTGGGCCCCCCTGAAAGTCGGAGTGAACTCAGTACTGAACCCAGCTTGTGCCGCGTTTCTACAGTCACCCCTTCGGGTTAAGTAGTGAAGTGAGTGCCGTGGGTCCCAGAGGTTCCTGGGAGCCTGGGGCAGGACATCCTCACCGGCCACCAGCATGTGACCATCTGGGTGTGCTTCCTGGCTAGAGACACCTGGTTGATGGACATGATGGTGCTTAATATTGTCCTCTCGGCCACGCTGCTGTGCCCCACGCCCGCACGAAGCTTCCCTTCCCTTCTCTTTCCTCCACGACGTCACCACGTGGCCTTGTGGCCTTCCCTGCCAAGGACACGGGGACGCCCCAACAGCGAGATCGCCCAACGAAGGCACGGGGGCACGTGCTTACCGTGGCAGCCCAGTGAGGGGGCTTGCTCCACCCCAGCTGCCAGGGGCATGCCGGCAGCGCCACTCTGGGGGCTGCTCTGCACAAACGACCCCGGGAGCTGCAGGTGTTAACACTGGGGTCACAACCAAACTTTAGCAAGTTCAGATCCCTTGAGTACCAAAAGCCGAGCGGCACTGTGTCCACTCTGACCTGGCCCCTGAGGTCTTTTCCAGGCCTCTCGGCCATTTCTCGTCCCGGAAGAGTTGCCCGTGGGGGCACTGCTGGACTGAAGACTTGCTCTGGGCCAGGGAGAACCACCTCTGGTATCGGCAAGGCCCAGAGCAAGAGTCTGGGGCTGAAGGTTCTCCCCGCCCTCCACGCTCTAACCAGGGGAGTCCCGGGCAAGTGGGGCAAGTCACCGCCTGAGTCTAGGAGCCCGTGCGTCAGGTGAATGATTTCCAGGCTTTTCTGCCCTGCCATTTGGGGTGCCCTGCTTGATGGGGCACCTGCATTTTGTTACATTGCCATCTTCAGTTGTGTTGTTGACTCTTGCTGGCCCTGGCCCCAGGGTTTTATATCCGCCCAGAGAAGCAGAGAGAGGAGCGAGAAGGCCAGAGAAAAAGAGAGAAAGGGTAGAGTGAAGATTGCCCGGGCTGAGAGGCCTCCTGGCCCCCTGGTCCCCCCGCCTGCCGTGTGCCTGGTTGCTGCACTACATGGAAAAGCTCAATAAAAGCCCGAGAAAGCCACCGAGGCGCCAGGACTCTCCTTGACCCGTCTGCCCGGATCATAGGTTTCTGCTCTGTGCCCTCCTGGCACTGCTCCATGCAAGCTATTCTGAAATCTGAATTCGTGCATAGAGCTCGTCGTTGCGAGCACAGTAGAGGCTCCTGCTGGAACAACGCAGTTTGCGTTCCACCCTCCCACGCCCATCTTGTCCCGAGGTAGTTTCACACCTGCAGCCGGAGAGCAGACATGCTCAGGAGCAACAGGAATGGCCAGGGTTGCAAACACGTCCCTCGGCTGTTGCCAGCAGGTCCCAGGCTTAGGACAATCACTGAGCAGCGAGAAAGTGGACGCCTGAGCTTTCTGGACACGCCACACCACCACGCCCCACTGTGCCCTCCTTGCTGTGATGAGCTGGCCCGTCTCCTCTCCGTGCCCAGCAGTGCCCGCTGCCCATCCTCCCCACTCCTCACAGCGGTGTCTGGGTCTCTGTGAGCCGGGCACAGCCACGGAGCATTGCGCGGGGGGAGGCAGCACCTTCTCTTTTGAGGACCTGGGTCGGGAGATGTGGGGGAATGTTGCTCTGGGGCCCCAGCAGCTAGATGAAGGCAGGGGGTGACTACAGATGCAACAAAGGGTCCCAGCTGCAGGAAGGGGCTGGTGTGGGGGCAGGGGGGCAGGGAGATGCCGCAGGGGAGGGGTCCAGGTTTCAGGGGCCGCATGACTCGTCCCCTCCCAAATTCACATATAGAAGCTGCAGCGCCCAAGTCCTGGTATCGGGAGGTGGGGCCTCTGGGAGGTGAGCTGGTTAGGTGAGGCTGTGGAGGTGGTGGGATTCGCGTCCTGATGAGAAGAGGGAGAGCAGAGGCCTCGCTCTGGGAACGAGGAGACGCCCAGAACTAGTGGGAGTCGGGCTGGGAAAGTGCTGTTGCCCAGACGCTGTGTCATGGGGTCAGCACAAAGAGCTCACCTTCCCGTGTGGCCCCCCACCCCGCGCTGATAGGGATGCTGAGGCTCTGAGGGGTTATGTGGCATCTTCCAGGTCTGACTAGTGATGGGAGAAGCCAGCAGGCTCACGTCATCTGTGGTGTCAAGGTCAAGGTCCCAGCCACAGTGCCCACCGGAGGGGCTGAGGAGTCGGACATGGGACCCCTGCCTAGTCCTGGCTCACTCTGCCGGGGAAGGGGGCGTCAGCTGCTGCCAACATGCAGCCTCAAGAAGGGCAGTCAGTGGGAGCTGGCCTACCCCCACCCCACCCCCAGAAAGCCCCACGGTCAGGGATGCACTGAGGGACCAGCCCCTTCCCTGATCTGGGCCTCCGTCTATGTGGCCATGGTTCCCCCAGTCACTCAACGCCTGGGATGCCAGTCCCTGGAGGGAAACCCCCGGGGGCCTGCCATCCCCCAGGCAGTCAACCTTCCCTGCTCCTCACCACTCAGCAGGTGTGGGCGCCATGAACTTGAGAAGCTCCGCAGGTGGGGACACTGAGGCACGGAGAGGATGTGGCCTGATTCCAAAGTCCACCGCGCACCAGGAGGGCCGGCCGTGCGGCTCTGGGCAGACGCTTCACCTGGAGCGCAGCAGGGCGGGGGGGGGGGGGTGCGGGGGGAGCACACAGGTGTTAAGGGACCTTGGGCACCTCCTCAGAACACCAGGAGCCCCCCAGTTCCCATCCTGAGCTGCCCCTCCACCGGGCACCTGTTAGAATTTTCAGCGGAGCTGGTCACCTGTTCCGTCATCCGGGGAAACATTCCTACCTTTGGCCGTGGATCGAAACATTCTATTCTATTTCGAGGCAGGCACCTGCTTAAAATGCGCTGTCCCTGCATAAACACATTCCGAGAGCCTCAAAGAACACCGAGGACCTCGGCGGGGCGCCGCCCCCTTCTCCCTGGCTTGCGGGCGGAGAGGCGCGCAGGGGCGGCTTCTGGCCACTGCCCTTCGGAGTCACGGAAGCTTCCCCGTGCGCCCCGCGGCGCCCGACCCCTGCCCGCCTCGGGTGGCTGCCCGGGCCGAGTGGCCGGCGGGGCGGGGCTGGGCGCGCCGTCACCTGGCGGGGCGCGGCGGGGCGGGGCGGGGCGGGGCGGGGCGGCCTCACCTGGGCCTCGGCTGCGGCCCCTCCCCGGGCCCCGGCGCGCAGCGGACAGACGGCGGCTCCCGACCTCGGGTCCCCGCGATCCTCAGGTCCCGAGCCCGGATCCGCGCCCCCCGGCCGCCGGGATGCTGGACCCCGAGCGCGGCTGGAGCCTGTCCTTCTCGGGCTGCGGCTTCCTGGCCATCTACTATTTGGGGGTGTGCCGCTGCCTGGCCGAGCACGCCCCCCACGTCCTTCGCGACGCGCGCATGATGTTCGGAGCCTCCTCGGGGTCGCTGTTGTGCGCCGTGTTACTCTCCGGGCTGTCCTTTGGTAGGTCGCGGACCCGCCAGGGCTCTGCGCGGAGAGGGGCGCCCTGGGAGCTATTGGGGACACAGGGACCCCGCGAGACACACTAGGGCCACTCCCCCAGGGGCCCTCTGCCCTACTCACGGAGCTGGGGAAGGACTCTGTGGGGCACGGGGGGGGGGGGGGGGGTGTGTGCCTGTGGGGGCGCCTCTTCTGACCCTGACCAGAGCACGTCCTCAGCACCCCCTCCCTCCCCTGGACCCCCTCAGCCCTAGGTCGGGCTCTGAGAGCTGGGAGGAGGGCGCCGTGGGGGGAGGCACCAGGGAGAGCTAGGAAAGCCATCTGTGGAGGGGCTGATTTTCCTGGGGTGAGACCTGGGGGGGTGTACTGCCTCCCCCACGCCTTCTTGGTGCAGCCCAAGGATCCAGGGGCTATTTGGGGGGGGGTATGTGTCTGTGGGAGGGGATGTGTGGGTGTGGGTGGTGGGGGTGGGAAAGCTATCTCCTCTCCGACTTTCCAGTTTTTGGGACCCTTCCTGGGAACTGGAGTAGATCCTTGGACACCCCAACCCCTCCCCTCCCCCTCAACACCCTGCTCACCTCTTCCTAATTAAACATCTGCCCATGTGAGTGCCTGCAGAGGGGAGCATGTGGGTCCGTGCCCGTGGCCCTGAGGTAGGGCTCGGCCTCCTTGGGCACTGGCAGGGCCTGGAGGAAGTGGCAGCGTGTGAGCTGCCAAAGGACACAGAAGAGACGATGAGGAGCCTTATCAGCCTTCGCTCTACCAGGGCACTGCTGCCTTGAGCACCCCCCACAGGGAGTGACTTGGTGCTGGTGGCCAGGAATCCCCTGCCGGCAGGCACTGCCCAAGGGGCCGCTGGCTGGGATCAGCGAGCTCCCCCTGTGCTGATACAGAGGTGGCGGGAGGAGAGAGGCCGCCCGCTGCCGTCTCCATCGAGGGGGAAGGGGCAAAGGGCAGGAGATGTGACCAAGGGGGGACTAGACTGGCCGCCTATCTGGCCTGTACCCCTTGGGCTTTGGCCAGCCCTGGTATCCTGAGATGACGAGCAGACACCCATGTATTCAAGGCTTAATTCGACCAGATTCGAATGCACTGGCCCCAGGACCTTGGCGAACGCCGACTCCAGTCTAGAGGAGCCTCCAACCGCCAGAGGACAGGTGCAGCCTGAGCCTGCACCGTGCAGGATGGGGTGGGGAGGGTTCGGGGGCCACCAAGTTCTTGGAAAGCAGACCTGGAAGCTTTGGCAGGAGCTGCTCCCCGCATTCCAGGAGCCCCAAATCCCCACTTTAACCTCTGTCTCACTCGAGAGCCAGCGAGAAGCGTGGCCCAGGAGCTCGACTTGGGCAGAGCGCTTGCGAGTGCTTCTAAACCAGGGATGACTTGGCAGGAGAGACTGGCAGAGCCTCCTGCTGTGTGCAATGTTGACCCCTCTGCCGGGGCTCAGCAGGGACACGTGGCAGGTTACAGGTGGGTCAAGACAAGATGCTGTGTGCTTGTCCCTCGGATCTTGGGCCGGGACTGCTGTTCTTACCTGCTAGGGCGATACGAGCCAGCCAGAGCGGGCCAGGCCAGAGAGTGAGGTCAGAAGTGATGGGAATGTGCCCCCTGCCGCCAGGCAGCCTCGGACCCTGCCTTTAGAGGCTTGCGGGAAACTTTCCCGGCACCCCCTCTGGGTCAGGTACCTTCCAGATTGCGACCGCTGATCTTCCCTGTCTCTCAAGTTAAAACACACAGCCCGAATCCTAGAGAGGCGGCGGGGTGAGGTGGTGCTAACGCTGTGAGTGAGTGCTGGCCTCTGCCTCGGGGAGGAGGCGGTGGGGCCCAGCCCACCTGGGCCTCCGCAGCAGCCTTGTTCCTGTGGCCCCGACTCAGAGCAGCCACGCCGGGCAGAACCCACACTCACCGCAGCTGTCACCTGCATTTCCTAGTAACCACACTGAAAACAGAAACAAGAAAGCAAAGGACAGGAGGGCCATGGCTTTCCTGCCTCCCGGGAGCACCAGAATATTATCGTTTATCCGTCGAATCCATAAAACATGACTCACGAGCTATTTTGTTTTACATTCTTCTTGGGTTACTGAGTCTCTGAGACCCTGTGCGGCTTTTACGCACCCCGGGTCAGCTCCTTTTCAAGGGCTCGGTGGTCACGTCTGGCCTCCCGGGGTCCATTTGGGCCAAGAGAAATGGAGTGTCCTCGCAGCTGGTTTTGATCTTGCCGCGAAGCTGCCCCGTCTCCAGGTGGCACATTCCTGTCTGTCTCCTTCCCCCGCCCCTCCCCACCCCTCAGACCAGTCAGTGCAAATCTTCATGGACCTTGCCCTGTGGGCCCAGAGCCCGAACCTCCGCATCTTCCGCCCGTCCATCAACCTGATGGAGTTCATGCGCGCGGTCCTGCGCCAGCACCTGCCCGACAACATCCATGAGCGCCTCTCCGGAAAAGTCTACCTCTCCCTCACCCGAGTGGCCGACTGGAAAAACGTGCTGGTGTCCGAATTCCAGTCCAAAGAGGAAGTCATAGATGTAAGTAGTTTGCTTGGCCGAGTGCCGTCAAGTCAGACGGGCCGCGGCATCTCGCAAAAACATAGGGAGGGCTGTTGTGGGCCACCTCCAAGATGCAGAAAGGACCCGGCTGTCCCTGGTGCTGGTTTCCTTTCTGCCCCAGAGTGCCCGAAACCCGACGTGCACGAGGTGGTCTGGGCCTTGGCTGTTCCTGGCAGTTTCAACCTCGAATAACTCCTCCCCTGGGGCCAGACTCGGCTTCCGACACCCACCCCCGGGATCCTGTCCCACCAGTATCTCTCCTCCCGGGGGGGGGGGGTGTGTGTGTGTGTCCTGCGAAGTCCCAAAGGGTGGGGACAGGTCAGTTGCCTCTGTCCAGGGACCAACACAGAGGCCACCATTCACAATAGCAAAATACTGTTAAAATTGGCTGATGCCTTGTGTGAGAGTGAACTTGAACTCTGTGTCCTTAATGCAGATCTCTGCGAGAGCAGCCTGGTGAGTGTAACCCGCAACCTCTCAGTAGCCAGAATCATCCCCCAGCTCCCGTTTCCAGAAGCTTTTTCTAGACAGCCAGCCCCTGTGCATTCCCACCTGAATCCATTCTCTCAATGAACTGGTGTCGTCTCCTGCTTAATAGGCCCCCGTCCTCCGACCTGCTGCCCCCGGACCCTGGGTGGTCATGGTCTGTGGGTCAAGGGGATTTCCAGAAGATTCTGATGAACAGCAGCAGCATTTGGGTAGCCCTGGTTGGTCCCTTCCCACTCAGTCAGCGAGTCAGCACCTCCAGGTCCCGCCTGCCTTGGTCCCGGGGAATCTGGGGGGGACGGGACAGGAAGCTGAGAGTTTTGTTGGGGCCTGAAATCAAAGTGGGCAGGCTGGCTCCTTAGCTCATGCACTGAAGCACCACTGCACAGAGAGCGCTCCCGACATCTCGTCCTGCCCCTTTGGGGACGCCTAGAATCAAAGCGCCTGCATTTCCGTGGCCTGTGCTTTTTGCCCGCTTTTGTCTTGACAGGCCTTGCTGTGTTCCACCTTCATCCCGTTCTACTGCGGCTTCATCCCGCCCTCCTTCAGAGGCGTGGTGAGTCTGCTTTCTCGGTGTGTGGCACAGCCCTGCCCGTGAGCACCTGCGCTCGGGCGCCGGGATGCCCAAGTACAGAGCCTTTCGGAGGGAGGCTCAGGACCTGGCCCCCTTCTGGGCAGCCAGGCCCACCTGCTGCAGGATGAACACCCTGGCTCTCTGCAGGGTCAGCTGCTCGCTGAGTCCACATGGGCCAGGCGGTGCCCAGTGTCCTTGCCAAAGCTTAGAGGCCCAGACATTGGCTGCCGCTTTGCAGTGGAGCTTTCTCCTTTGAGACTGAAGGCTTCAGCCCCCGCCCTGGTCTCTCCTTGTCTGACACTGGCTTTGGGCAGACGCTGCCAACATTCCTCACGGGCTCGCTCCATTCACCAAACGTGTGTTTGGGCTGATTTCTGGACCCTTCCTGGGTGGGGAGGCAGATATCAAGGCGTGTGTTCTGCAGATTCTGGACTGGACACTGGGCTCTGCACAGCCCCTGAGGGCAGCCTGAGGGCCCGGAGATGGTGCTGCCCGCCCCCCACTCCCCCCACCCCCCCCACTCAGGACGAATGTCTGGAGATGCTTCAGGTGGTCATGGCTGTGGGTTTGCCCCTGACATTTACAGCGTAGGGCCTGGGGGTACTGCTCAGCCCCCCATCTTGTGCAGGATAACCCCGATGTCAGCGGTGCCAGTGGGAAACACTGGCCGGGGAGGGGAGAGGCGAGACCCCAGTGTCTCAGGGTAGGAGGCGCGTGAAAGCCCCCAGCTTCACACTGTCATGGGGACATCATGCCCCGCAGGCAAGGGGCAAAGGCTGGCCACCAGCGGCCTCACTGACACCCCAGTGCAACCCCTAGTTATAGGTGAGAAAATGGAGGCCTAGGGCAAATGCCATTTTCTGAGGGCCTTCGAGGTCCCAGATCCACTGACTCACTTTTGTTTCCAAAGGCTCTCGAGATGTTGGGTCTCTTTTTCAGGTGTGGAGAGAGAGAGACAGAGGCTGACAGGTTAAGCACAAGATTCCCCAGCAGCAAGGGGGAGGGGCTGGGATCGAGCCCGTGACCCTGAGTGTCCTCTGGAGCAGAGTCCATCCCGCTGCACCCAGTGGTCCATGCGAGCCCGCCACGGGCACCCGCTGGCTCACCACAAGCTTTATGGCCTCCAGCCTCCATCTGCCTCTTAACTGTGTGCTCAGCGCACACACCGCACAACAGTACAGAGCAGCCCTGGGGGCGAGCCCAGCCTGGCCTTTGTAGACGTGCTCAGTGAGGACTTGGTGACAGCCTGATTCTGCAGCCAGGTCCTCCGCCGCGCAGCGGTCACTAGGAGAAGCCTCTGCCCATAATTTGGGAAAAACCTAAAATGCTCTCTTCCATTTTTCCCCCTTAAAAGGACTATGTGGACGGGGGACTGAGCAACAACAGCCCCTACATGGACAGCAGAACCACCATCACCGTGTCCCCCTACTACGGGGAGAATGACATCGGCCCCAGAAACATTTCCATGAATTTGCTGGCTATAGACTTCAACTCCCTCCACATGCACGCCTGTGCGGAGAACACCTGTTTCATGATCTGGTCGCTGTGGCCCCCCAGTCACAAGGTGAGCTGGAGGGCAAGTTCTGGGGCCGCAGCTCCTCTGTGCCTCCCTATTTGCTGGGAGGTCTACGAGGCCCTCTCTGTAGGCAGACGGGCGGGCGGGTCCCGGAGCAGGCCTCACAGGGTGGCTAGTCCCAGAGGCTCAGGCTGGTCTCTGGCCATCAGGGCGCTTAAGCCCAGAGCCCACTTCCGGGAGGGGTGTGGGGCGAAGCAGTCTGGGAGCAGCCTGGGGAGGAGGGCTTGTTTCTGTCCCCCGCTGACTCTCGGGAGCAGGTTAAGGCGCACTCTGCACCCGGCAGTTTCATCCTTCCTTGATGACCATAGCAGCAGCCTCCCGGGAGAACGTGTGTGGGGCCCTCGGAACAGTTTTTGGGGAGAACAAAGCAGAACAATGCAACATACCCGCACACATGTGTCCCCGGAGAGGGAGGTTGTGCAGGACTGTGGAGACCCGCAGGCCAAGCTCCCACGCGCAGGGCAGGCCAACCACAATGTGGCTTCCGGGCAGGCACGCCGGGGGGCCGCGGTGACCGTCCCGGGAGAATGAGCACAGGCTCCGGGGTTTGTGAGGGCCCCTCGCCCAGGGACCACGTTGCTCGGAGAAACCAGTGAGAGTGGAGGGGACGTCCCCGGAGCCCAGGGCAGCAGGGCAGCCGACCGCCGTCCCGAGGACACAGCCCTGCCCACCCTGCGTGGCCGGCCTCGGCTCACAGCGTGACGCAGAGCTGGGGGCCCGCGGGGGTCTGTGCCATCTCAGGGGGTGTTCAAAGGGACACACTTGGTGAGGACCCTCACCCCCACCCCGCCCCACAGTGAACCTCTTCCTTTTGCTTGCAGGTCTTGTTGGAGTTCTGTGTTCAAGGGTATCTGGACACAGTCAGGTTCTTGGAAGAGAAAGGTAGGCACGGCCCTGGGCGGACTCGCTTTGGTTGTCGGGCTGGGCACAGGGAGGGTGGATGTGACAACACCGAGGGCTTGGCAAGAGGGGAAATCTTTGCCCCATTTTACAGATGGGGAAACCAAGGCTGGGAGGTGCATCGAGGCCCAGGCTCTGCTCACGGGGGGACAGGGCTGAGATGGGGACACATGTCAGGGGACAAAGCTCTCCCTGTCCACGGAGTCACCCTCCTGCACGCTGGAGCCCCTCTATTTGCTTACCTTTTCTTTTTTCTTTTTTTAAAGATTTATTTATTTATTTATACAAGAACCGGGGTACAGGCCAGATGTGTGGGGGGTGAGAGGATCCACTAGAGACAGAGCGGGGAGCAGACCAGGCAGACTGACGGAAATACACTGCTGAGGGGAGCAGCGGGCGAGACAGGACAGGTCTGCCGCTCCACGTGGGACACTTGCCGGCCGGCGAGGATTGAAGCGGCGCTGCAGAGGCTGCAGACAGCTTCACAGCGCTGCGCTCAAGCGCCTGCGCCACCAGGGAGGCCCTGTTTGCTTACCTTTTCTGTTTGAACGCTTGTAAACCTTAATGAGGGAGGAAGTTAAACAGGATGTCTGGGCCAGGACCCGCGAAAAGCAACCTGGATGGTGGGTCCAGCCAGGTGCAGGGCCTGCCCATTGGCCTAGGGCACCTCTGGGGCAAGGTCCTGCCCTTGAGCTCCCCAGGCTGTGGAACTTGGCACTAGACCGTATGGATGGAACCCAGCATGGGTGTGTTTGGAGCTGTGCCTTCCAGACTAGAGGCTGGTTCTCGGGTTGCTGCTTTGAGTTCACCTTTGGCCAAGACTAAGGGACAGGGTGGTTCAAGCCTGCGACTTTGGTTGGACAAGTCAGCTCCCTCTCTGGGGTCTGTGTCTGCTTCTGTCACCAGGGGGGTTTGGGTTCAGTGATGCCCAGGGATGCTTAGTCCTCTGAAGCCTGAGTGTGTGCAGCCTTGGGCTCCTTCCTATTTCGGGAACTGAGCCAGCTTTGCAGAGCCACATGGGGCTGAGATGGGGCTTGTCCTCTGGGGCAGATTCTTTGAGACATAACGAGGGAAAGTGAAGTCGCAGGGTGTGTGAAGGGCAGGATGTCTTTTGGAGGCCCAGAAAGATCGACAGATACAGCATAAGGGTGGGGCATCCCTGGGGAGTAGGGTGCAGGCAGCCAGGAGCAGCCCTGCCCTTTTTAAACTGAGAGGGACTTTCAGGAACTACCTGCTCCACCCCCATCGAGAGGGCAGGAACCCCTCACTAGTGTCAGCCTCCAAGTCCAGCAGCAGGAACAGCACCTGCTCCAGTGCCCTCACCTAAAGCTGCTCTCACTGCTCTCTTTGACTTGGGATTGAATTTCCCTCTGCACTTACTGTCTGTGTGGCTTTGGATGACTTTCTTTCTTTTTCTTTTTTTTTTTTTTAAAGATTTATTTACACAAGCACTGGGCACAGTCAGAAGCGCGGGAGGGTGAGAGAATCCACCCGAGCCAGAGCGGGGAGCAGAGCAGGCAGAAGGACCGAAGGACACTGCTGAGGGGAGCAGCGGGCGGCAGGGGAGGTCTGCGTGACATGTGGGACCCCCCTCCGGTGGCCGGGGAGCAGCTGGGGATGGAACTGGCGCTGCAGAGGCTGCGGGCAGCTTCGCAACCCAGCGCTCAACCCCTGCGCCACCGGGGAGGCCCTGGATGACTTTCTTAACCTCTCTGTGCTCTGCTTCCTCAGATGGCAAGTGGGGACGAGGAGACTGGTAGCAGTGGGGTGGCAGCTAAAAGGGGTTGATTTCCTAACTCAGGGCCTGCAACTCGAGCTTAACCTGTGGTTCCCTCACGATAACTCAGTGACTTACCTCAGTAGCTAAGATAAGGATAACTCAGATCCTTATCTTTCAATGCCTTGATCCCCACCCCCACCCCCCGGTGAGCGCCCCATTCTGTTCACAGCTGATACTGGGCCCTCTGTGGCCCCCTGGCCTGGTGGATAGGGGGTGAGAGGACCCGCTGCCCTGATCCGCCTGATGAGTTTGCTTCTGTAGGCATCTGTGACAGGCCCCAGCGGAGCCTGAGCGCACCCTCAGAAGAGCTGCAGGTCCTTGTGCCCCCCCAGCCACAAGGGGTGGCTGCCCCGGAGGAGAAGCCGGGAGACGAGCTGCTGGCCTACCTGCGATGCAACATCCAGCAGTGGGACGAGAGCTTCCTACAGATCATGTCACCCACGTTCATCCTAGGTGCCCACCGCTGGGTCGGGGGGGAGTGGGGGGCATTTTTCCCGTGACTGTTGGGGACACTGAGTGCTCCCTCCGTGGGTTGTGGAGGAGGGTGATGCTGCCACGTGGGGGAGATGGGGTGCACCTGGAAGGCCCATGGGGTAACCCCCACCCCAGTTCAGGCCCCACCCCCAGCCCAGGGGCCTTGCTCAGTCTCTTTCCCACTGGATCAGCGGGCCTGTCCAGGGCTCGCCAGGCACACCCTCAGCTCCTGGGCTCTGGCGCCCTGCAAGGCGGACCCCCCGCTCCTCCCCCGGAGTCTCTCCCGGCCACAGCTTTGGACGGTTGACCAGTGTGTGTTTTGCTATGTCACTGAGTATTTGGTTGCTGGAGGAGCACACAAACCAGCTTCCTGCTCAGGAGTTGAGGGAGACATAGAGGCATAACACCACCCCGTGGCCCCAAGCCCTGACTCCCCAAGCTCGTCATGAACCGACTGGAGGCATCATGAGGTCATTGCAGAGGGGAGCTAGAAGGGGGGGGGGTTCCAGGCAGAAGGACGTGGGGTCCAGTGGAAGACACCAGGAAATGCCCACCAAGCCAGCTCTTTAGACGTCTGGAAGCCCACGTGGCTTTGCGGGCATGGGAGCTGGGAGCCTCCCCGCAGCGGCCTCAGGTGGTTCAGGGCCACATGCCCTTGCACCCTGGGGTCCCTCTCTCCGTCTGAAAGGAGCAGCCCGCAGAGTCCAGCTCGCTGCTCCTCTGTGAATACCTGTGACTCAGACCACGGGGTGGCCCTGTCTCCCAGAAGTCCCAAGCAACAGCGGGCGAGCAGGTCAGGGTCTCGCGCCTGGACGTGAACCTCCAGATCCTCTTTTCCAGCTCTGCGCCACACAATGAAAGAGACAGACGGGTACCTTGGCAAGATCTGCAACCTCCTGCCCGTGAAGGTGCTGTCCTATGCCCTGCTGTCCTGCATGCTGCTCGTGGAGTTGGCCTTCTACGTGGTCTGGAGGTGGGTGGGGAGCTCAGGCTGTCCTGGGTGCAGCAGGGGCACTCAGGGACCTTAGGGAGCGCCCCAGAGGTGCCTTGCTTTGACCCCCGCCTGCCACTTCTTTCCTCTTTGCACTACCAGTTTGCTGCTTCCCGCAGATCTGCACTTTTATACCGTCCCCCCAGGCCTGCGAGAGGGACCGGGCAGAGGGGGGGTGCCTGCCTTCAGATGTGCAGTTCACTCTCTTTACACTGAGTTAGTCCGGCAGGTCCTTAGTCCATCGTTGAAAGACCAGCCCGGCCGGCAGATGGAGGGCAGTTCTGCCCTTGGGGGCTTCCCAGACTGCCCACCTACCAGAGGCATCATCGGACCCCCAGGTGGGGCCTTTCCACAGCTGGGATGGGCCCCGCAGGTGGCAGCAGCCAGGCCTGCTCCTCCCCCTGCCAGCGGGATGTGGCCACCAGGGCGTGCCTCCAGCAAGCACAGTCCTAGAAGCCCGGCTCCTTTGACCTTCACTTAAATCCCCAGAACTTTCCTGAATCAAGAGTGACCTGGCTTGGCTTTAGGGCTTTTGTGCAGACTTGTGTTCGGTGTGATGTCCCACATCCACCTTCTGGGAAGCAGCCAGGTCAGGAGGAGAAGTTACTGGGATGAAGGGTGTGGTGTGACAACCTGCCTTCGGTGCCCTTTCTGGCTGGGCTTGTCTGCAGGCCGGTGGGATGTGAGTGTATCTCGCTTTGCTCCCGCAGATTGGCGCTGTGGGTTCCCAGGATTCGCGAGGACCTCCCGCGGCTGCAGGGGGTGGCCTCCCGCGCTTACTCTCTGCTGCTGATGCGCCAGTTCCATGGTGCCAGGTAGACGACTGGGCCGCGGGGGGTGGTCGAAGGGCAACCCTCTCATCCCATCAGGCCTGGAGGCCATTCTAGGAAGTTGGCTGAGGGCCTGCGAGGTGGCGAGGAGCTGGCCCTATGCACAGGACCCTGCCCCAGGGAGGCAGCTCAGGGCATCCACGTGCCCACGGCCCCTCCCTGCACTGGGTGCTGTAAGGCCCAGTTACCAGTGCAGAGGAGGACAGAGCTGGATGGCAAAACTGGGGGGCAGGAGGGAGTCAGATAGCAATGTCTCTCTAGAACCCGGGGAGGGTGCAGGTGTGGAGAGGCAGGGCCAGGCAGCCCTTCTCTGTGCAACCAACCACGTGCCTATTCATGCAAATTCCCATCTGACTTCAGATTTGGGGTCCCCCCACGCAGAACCCTGCATCATTAATAGGACCTGGGGATGCTGCTACTTTTTAATTTTGAATCCAGAGCAGTGCAAGAAGGTTGTCCAACCCCAGGGCTGGCTCCTGCCCTGAACGTCGTGGGCCTCGGCCCTTTCCTGTTCCCCGGGGGTGAGCCTCACCCGCTCCCTATGTTTTCCTGAGGCTTTGGGGAGCCCCTTGCTCCGTACTGGACATGTGGTGGGCCTGCAGACAGCCTCATTTCAGACTGCTGGTAGCACATGTAGAAGGGCTGGAAGTAGGGGAGCAGGGGTCTTGGTTTGAATGAAATGACCGTGCTGGCCTTGGTGGCAGCAGGCTCACCATAAAGAGGCGGCTGCCCTGGTCTTGGCCAGGAAGGGAGGGCCTGGTCCCAGCACCCGGGGGACTGAGAGGTGTCCAAAGGGCCAATAACAGGTGCCAACTGTAAGCCCTAAGCAGCCAGTTAGGACGAGGAGACCTGGAGGTGGCGGGCTGTGACTGGGTGCGCTGGCCGGTGAGCTGGTAGGTATGGAGGAAATATATGGGGTGGGGTTAACGTGCTGTGGGTTCAGGGGGAGGTGTCCAGCTGACTGGAAGGCCTCAGGCTCAGAGGTCCAGGAGGTGACGCTGCCTAGTGCTGGGGGGCAGAGGCAGCTGTGGCTCCGGGGGGGGGGGGGAGTTCTGAGGTGCCTGAGCACATGTGGGCTGTAGCATCCACATGTCCCATCAGAGAGGGCAGCAGGCTGGCCGCTGAGTCCGTTGAGTCTGTGTTTGTTTCAGGCCCAAAGCCCCGGAGAGCAGCACAGAGCCTCCCCCACAAGGACCAGAAGACAGCAGGCCCCTCTGGCCTGCACACCCCGATGCCCGCCCCGAGGACTGCCCTGTAGGGACCAAAGCCGGGTCTCCCCAGGCCTCCTTGTTGGGTAGCCAAGGCTCTACTGGGGCTGGGGGTGCCCCTCCTCCGCCCCTTCTCCAGTGAAGAGTTTCTGAGGCGGGGGGTGGGGGAACTGAGGCCTCCTTTGTCTGGAGGGACTGGGCCTTTCTAGCTCTGCGCGGCCACTGTGTCTGTGACATACTGCCCGGCCCCAGGCTGAGCTTGCCGTGTGCTGACACCAAGGCGGTCAGACTGAGCTTTTCTGAAAAGTTGGGAAGCTACGTTGGGCCAGAGGTCCGGGGAATCTGACAGTGGAGCCTCTGGGTCCCTGGCGGGTTGTCTGGGAGCGGCAGCTGGCCTGCCACGCGGAGGGCCCCTCACTGGCTCTGGCTTGTGCCCTCGGGTGTCCTGGACAAAATTCCTTGGAGGACCGTGTGGCCTTGGGGGTACGCAGGAAGAGAAAGGCGTGATTCTCCCCCCATAGGAAGCATCACAGTTCCGGAGGGGGTGATTTCTCTGAGAACAGCCCCACCACCAGCTCTGGCCAGGGCCCCGGGAGATGGCATCATCCTGTTTACCTGCTGGGACACCCTTCGGACCCACCTAGCCTAAGTGTTGGGCAGTTTTGTAAAATCTATGGGAGCCTGATTATCTGTTGAATTACATACCATGTGAACCTGTGAGAACACATCTTACAGGGCCTCCCCGGTGGCGCAGCGGTTGAGCGCTGGGTTGCGAAGCTGCCCGCAGCCTCTGCAGCGCCGGTTCGATCCCCGGCTGCTCCCCGGCCACCGGAGGAGGGTCCCGCATGGCGCGCAGACCTCTCCTGCCGCCCGCTGCTCCCCTCAGCAGTGTCCTTCGGTCCTTCTGCCTGCTCTGCTCCCCGCTCTGGCTCTGGTGAATTCTCTCACCCTCCCGCGCTTCTGACTGTGCCCAGTGCTTGTATAAACAAAAATAAATAAATAAATAAAAACAAACATGCCTCTATTTAAAAAAATTAAAAAAAAAAAACAAACACATCTTACAAAAATCCAATGCCAGAGACAGTCCTCCGGGGCCCCCCCGCAGGAACTTGGCCCTCTGCACAACAGAAAGTTTGGCCTCCTTTCTGGGGGTGCCATATTTCCTCTGGTTTCTGGTCTGCCTTCCCCTTTTCTCATTGTCCCCCCTTCTCTCTGTCCTCTGCTCCCCCCAGCCCTAATGGAGCCCAGCGAGCAGCAGGCCCCTACCTCTCCCACGCGTGGGAAGTGGCGGCAAGCAAATGCAGTTGGTATGGAGGTGAAGTGTGGGCGCCTGTCTCAAAGGGAATGTGGGTTTAGGGTCAACTCCACATGAGCCCGTTCTCTTGAGAGCCTGAACCCCTAGAAGGCGGGGCTACTCCTGAAATGTGAAATATGGGGCATTGTTAGGGAGAAATGATATCCCGAGCTAATCCCATGCAGGCTTTGTGGACCCCACCCCCACTCTAGACTAAAGCCATCAGGACATTGGGAAAGACACATCCCATCACCACCAAGGGAGGGTGGCTGGGACCTGAGGGTGGAGTTGGGCAGCCAGGTTGGATATAAAAACCAAACACGTGGGCCTTGGGGGGCTCGCTGTCACTCGCCTCCTGGCTTCACGGCTCCTGGCTGGCAGCCAGCTCTCAGAGTGCCATTTTGGGATTCCTGATCGGCGGATCGGGTAGGACTCATTTAAAACCTTGTCTCCCACTTTTCTCCCTGAGCTGTCCATTTCCTCTTCTCCCCTTCCCTTGTCAATAAACCTTTTATGAACCTTTCGCGTGCGCCTGCAGTAGAGCATTGATAAGTCCTTTCAAGCGCGCGGGTGAGGACCCCCAGTCAGGCACCCCGTTTTGTATCGGGGCTGCCTACAACAGGGCCAGCCCCCGGCACACGGACCCCCAGTGCCCAGCCCCTTGCTGGCTCCCATGTCTGGGCAGCGGGCACCGGGCTCCTGCCAGGTAGCACCGGCCCCGGAGCGACAAGCCAGGAGGGCGGCCCTCGGCGTGAGCGCGGGGCAAACCCCGCCTGCCAGGACCGCCAAGGGGGAGACCGAGGCCCGCCCGGGCGGCTGCCCCGGACCCCGGCCTCGCCCGCGCCCGCCGGGCCGCCCTCCAGCCGCCCGTCTCCGCGTCGGCGGCCCGCGACGCTCTGCGCTTGCGCCCTCGCCGCGCGGCCCGGCTTCCCGGCGGCCCCGTGAACATCCGGGTCACGCCCTTCTGCCACCCAATGACCGGCGTCGCCGAGAGCCAGGGGGCGGGGCGGGGCGGGGCATCATGGCCGCCCCCAGTGCGCCGCGTCCGGGGGCTTGTGGGCGGTGCGCTGACGGGCAGCGCGGCCACCGCGGACCCGCCCTCGGCCCGCGCGGACGAGGCTCGGTCGGGCTGGGCAGCGCTGCGAGCGGCGGCCGGAGAGGGAGCCATGGGCACGGTGCACGCCCGGGTAAGAGGCCCCGCGACCCCGGGCTGCGTGACCTCTGGGCGGGCGCCGCGGGGAGACGCTGTCGCGGCTGCGCCCCGGCTTCCCCGGCTGCGGGGCCGGCGGGGCGCGGGGGCCGCCTGCTGTGTCCCCGCGCCGGGCGCCGCGGGCCGGGTCGGGGGAGGAGGCCGCGGAGACGCGGGCGCGGGTCTCGGGGCGGGAAAGCCACGCTCGGGCGCGACTCGCGCAAGGTCACTCGGCGCGGCGGCCCGGGGGCGGCGCGAGCCTCCCGCGGCCCGGAGCAGAGCCAGGACTCCTCCAGGACCTGCCCCCTCAGCCCGCGGCCCTGCCGGGCGTCTTCTCTCCGTAGCCGCCACCGGCTCCCGGCCCCTCACCCCGCCTGCCATGGGCACGGCCGACAGCTGGTATCCTTTGAGGCCTTCTCCCCCAGACGCCCCTAGGCAGCTTGTTTCGCCTCCTTGCAGCCAAAGGCCGAAGCTCTCTCTGCTTTACTCCCCCCCCCCCACCCTCCCCCCAAACTGGAGGAGGTAACAGCAGCTCCTCGCCCAGCGCCTGGAGAATCCCGGGACAGTGCACATACATTTCGGGCCGGCTGCCTGGCACTAGGCGCTCCTTGCCCGACTGCTCTCCTCTCTCGTGATCTTAACCGAAGGCCAGAGGATGCGTGTCTATCCGAGGTCACACTGTGGAACTCCGGAATGTCCTAATGTTATAGGGCAGCCCCGATACAAAACGGGGTGCCTGACTGTGGGTCCTCACCCGCGCGCTTGAAAGGACTTATCAATGCTCCACTGCAGGCACACGCGAAAGGTTAATAAAAGGTTTATTCACAAGGGAAGGGGAAATGAGGAAATGTACAGCTCTGGGAGAAAAGTGGGAGACAAGGTTTTAAATGCGTCCTACCTGATTCCCAAATGGCGCTCTGCGAGCTGGCACGAGCCAGGAGCCGTGAAGCCAGGAGGCGAGCAATAGCCAGCCCCAGGCCCACCTGTTTGGTTTTTATACCCAACCTGGCTGCTTAACTCCACCCTCAGGTCCCAGCCACCCTCCCTTTCGTGGTGATGGGATTTGTCTTTCCCAATGTCCTGATGGCTTTAGTCTGAAGTGGGGGTGGAGTCCACAAGCCTGTATGGGATTAGCTCAGGACAGCCTTTCCCCCTAACACTAAGAGTCAGACTTGCTGAGTCCCAGCCCTCGGCATGACGTTTTACTGCAGCGCGGGGTGTTTTAACTCACCCTGCCCAGCAGTTTTCAGGAGTTTGCCTTCAGCCTCCAAGAGAATGCAGCAGAGAGCACAGGCAGCCTAATGTCTGGAATTGGACTGGAGTGGCTTCGCAGATCTTTCTTTCAAATGAATTGTGTTGCTGGAGTTACTGCCTGCAACTCCCTCTCCCAGACCTCCACACCCAGTCTTACCTGTCAGAACATCCCCTCATCTTTGAGCTCCTTTCAGGTCCAACCCGAACCCTCATTGGATCGTCTACCAACTACCCCTCCTGCATGCTGTTTTAGCTCTGTTTGCACATTTGTCTTACCCTTTTAGGGCCAAATTTCTAGATGTTACAATGGGACCTGCTTCAAGACCTTGACTTGCATCCTTTGTGGTAACTTAAACTTGAACTTGTTTTTTGAACAGTACGGATTCACTGGTTTATTAACTGTTTCCCAGTACTGCCGTCTGTGTGCCTGGCACTGTTGTAGATGCTAAGGACACTGCAGAAGAAACAAGTCTTTGCTTTTATTGAGCCCTTTGATTAGAGTATTGGCAAAAATGTTCCCAGTTCTTTAAATTTTGCAGTGTGTAAACTTCAGTACACAAAGCATGTTCATGAAATGTGCCAATAAGAGTTGCTATTTATTGGATCATAGTTTTGAGAACTAGAGTAAATGATTCCGTTTTTAAAATAATATACAACAAAAATGAAAGGATAACAAACAAATGATACTTTTTAGCGACTGCGAACTGGGAAGAAGCCCTCCCAGCTCTCTGACCCTACCTGAAGCCCCAAATAAAATGAACAACTTGATCTCTCCCCAAAGAGAACACAAATTACATGTTCTTTGCCCCTTCATAAATATTCCTGCATAAATATTCCACTTCTACTACTATGAGGCTCGAGCACTGCTGCATACCTGCTTGCTCAGCACTCGCCATACAGCAGGAGGCAGTAGACACCTGTAAAATGAAAGGACAAGAGAGAAAAATCACTCATCCATCCATCGCACAGGAGTTGGCATGCCGCATGTCGTGTAATTGTGCCAGGGCGGGGTAGAAATGTGGGGAGGGAGCATGTGCAAAGGTCATGCGAGCATGTGCGAAGGTCACGCGCTTCTCTTGTCAGAGGTGTCTGTGGGGGAGGGACTGAGTGAGCCTGATGCCAGGGATACTCCCAGGGGAACTGACATTTAAGAGAGTTTTTGAGCTACTTGGGGGTATTATTCCAGGCAGACGGAGACAACAAGGAGTGTACACGAGTGGGGGGGTGGGGGGAGTGGGGATGGAGACTGACAAGAGAAGCAGGTGTGGGCCTGGGGAGGTCCCGCTGTGCCCCCCTGCTGCGCCAGGTTGCACCACTCCCACCCTACCCCCACCTCCGCCCAGGCACCTATGAGCGCCTCCAGAGTCTGCTAGGGTCTTTACCTTTCTGGCAATCAGTGACAGCCATGGGCCAGCACCCACAGGAGGCTGTTGGCTCTTCCAGGGAAAAGGTGGCAGTGGCCCCAGAGTCCCCGACACCGCACATAATTCAAGTGCCAGATCTGTGAGCACGGGAAGTGCTTAGCTGCAGAGAACTGGCGTAGGAAGAAGTAGCCAAGTGCTGTCAGCAGATTCCCCAGACTTGCCCATTTGTAGGTCAGCTGGTGCCACAGGAGCCCCGCCTTCCCACTCTGTCTCCAGGGGTGTCCAGGGATCCCTGGGCCAGGCAGGCCTCTGTGCCTGTGTAATGTTATGCGCATGTTACTATGTCTCCTGGAAGAGCTAGACCAGGCACAGCCCGTGGCGTCCTTGCGCGGAAGATGCCTCAATGGCTTTGAGATGCTGATCGTTCCCATGGACGGAAATGTCGGCTCTGGCCTGTGAGCACGTGCCGTCGTGCTCAGTGTGTGAACAGGACTTTCTGGACCAGAACATGTAGATCAGCCTCCAGGAAAGTCTGATTTAGCAACTAGGTTTGTCAACTTAATCATCTTAGAAGGTGCCCAGTTTTGATTTTTACAATGAGGAGACTTTCTCCAATAACAGAAAAGCCAGTTTTTCTTTTTCTTCTCCCCCCGGTAAACGTCTTTGTGGTGTGCTTTGAATTGCCTTTGTCTTCAAAAGGGCCTCAAGTGTACAGACTAGGCCAGCTGTTGTTCTCAGTTCACGACGGTCACTATAGGCTTGTGCCTGCCACGCTTGTCTTACTAATGATACGGGAGACACTCAGTGAACGCAGTGAAAGCCACGCAGGGCTTCTCACTCCCTCACAGCTCAGGACTTACAGTCAACAGCTCACAGCTACCTTTGCCCCCACCACGCCCGCCCCTGCCCCACTCGCCAGAGGAAACCCCGGACAGAATTCTCTGGAGCCCCACCTAAAGAGGTTTGGTTTCCAACTGCTGCAAGTTCATTTTCTGCGCTTCCTCCCCCAGAGCTTGGAGCCGCTTCCCCCTAGTGGGCCTGACTTTGGAGGATTAGGAGAAGAAGCTGAATTCATTGAAGTCGAACCTGAAGCTAAACAGGAGATTCTCGAGAACAAAGATGTGAGTGCTCTGCGGGAGGCCCTGGGCGCTGCCGAGGGCAGGGCTGGCCACCGGAGGAAAGGTCTTTCTGCTTCTGGAGAAGTAGTTCTTCCTTGGCGATGATTTGTGTGGGAAGCTTAAGCAGGCACATTTTTATACTTAAGTTATTAAAAAAAAACCCACAAGTATTTCAAGGGCAAATTCAAATGAAGCCTAAGTTTCTGCTCCGTTCCTGCTCCCGGAATAAAGCCCCGGGTCTCCAGTGGAACTTTTCCTTGACTTTGGCGCTATTGAAATGAAGCAGAGGTGGAGCGAGGAGGCAGGCGCTCATTCCTTCATCCAGGGCTCAGTGTTCTGACGCTTGTCGTCGTACTTGTCACTGCCCCCCTCTGTGTTCCCCGCTGCCCCCTGGGTGCTGCCTCGTTCTTGGCCTTTAGAGCGAAAGCCCCGTTGAGGCAGGAAGGGCAGTGCTCTGTCCCTGCGTCCCCGGGTGGGTGGACAGCGACTGGCTTCCAGGTGTCTTTTTACCTGCGGTCGGAGGCGTGCTGGGTGGGGGGCCGCACGGGGTCTCGAGCAGGGCACACTTGGCTAGAAATCGGGGTCACCGACAGTGCCCCCGGCCAGTGCTTGGGGAGCAGGTCGGTTCTCTGGCTGTGGAGACCTTGTCAGGCTCTCCCAGGAAGTATGGACCTGGCAGAGGGGAAGTTTGAGTGACCCATTTTTTTGAAAAGGTGCATATAGCACACAGAACAAGGTCTGGCAAGTGTGGCTCGCTCAGCTTGCCGGTGTGGGGGTCCTTGAAGACCTGCCTGATGCCTTGTCCCCGTGCCGCGCTCCGCGGTCGCTGTCCCTGTCACGTAGGTGGTCGTGCAGCATGTCCACTTCGATGGGCTGGGCAGGACGAAGGACGACATCATCATGTACGAAATCGGAGATGTTTTCAAGGCTCGGAACCTGATCGAGGCAAGTGCTCTGCGTGGTCCTCTCCCTGCCCTCCTGTAGACCCCGTGAGCCTCGCCCTCCTGGGCCCCCGAGCGCCCCTTCTCCGCTCTCCTGCCCTGAAGGGAACGTCGGCGCCCCAGGCTGAGCCCCGCAGTTCTCTGGATGCTCCCCAAAATGTGTCTCTCATCCTGGAGGAGGCCAGTCCGGCACTGTCACAGAAGCAGCACCCTGCTTCGTGCCCAAGGCCCCCTTGGGGGGAGTCTCCCTGGTGACCCCCTCCTGCCGTCTCCTGGGACCCTGGCTTCTCTCAGCGGCCGGCACCGTCTCCTCTCCTCTGTGCCTTCCTCTGTCCTTCTGTCCTTCTGCCCCTGGACCACACGCTCAGGCAGGCTTCCTCGGGGCTGGTCCTGCTGGCTCGTCACCGTCCTCCTGTTACTCCACCTCACGGCTGCGTTCCGCCACGCTTTCAAAAATGATTATATCTTAAAAATACTAAGATACTAGCAGGGCCCGACCCCTCGCCCTGGGTTGTGCGTCGGCGGGTCGCGCGTTGGTAGAGCAGGGGACGGGCCCGCGGCGCGGCTGCTCCTGCGCTCTGGCGGTGCTCGCGCGCCCTCTCAGCGTCTGGTCTCAGCGGCCTCTCCTTGGCTGTCAGCCCTGGGGCCCGTCGTGACCGGGGTGCTGTAGCTGTTACCGAGGATTCCGGGTCTCAGACTCGCGGTTCCCCGCAGGTGATGCGGAAGTCCCATGAAGCCCGAGAAAAGCTGCTTCGTCTGGGGATATTTAGACAAGTGGATGTTTTGATCGACACGTGTCAAGGTATGCCCGGGGTGGGGTGTGACTGCCCCCTCATTACCATCCGGGACACAGAGCCCCGACATCAGTGTCACGGGAGGCGTCTCAGGAGGTGCCTGGGGCTGTGTCAGGCTGAGGGAGAGCACCGGTAGTGGCGACTCTTGGCCCCCGGCTGTGAGAGACCTGGCGCAGGTGGGGGGGGGGTGCTGGGGGGGCGGCGTGTGAGGAGGTCACGCATGTGTGGGACCCGCTGCATCTCCAGCTCCATTTTTCTATGAACCCAAACTCGATCTAAACAACCAAGTCTTAATAAAAAAAAAACAACATGGTGTCGCGCTTGCCCTGGACCAGAGTCCAAGTAATCCAGGGCCTGGTCCTGGGCCTCTGCAAGCTTGACTGACCCCCACTCTGCACTGCCATCCTGCCATCCCCCCTTGCTTGTGAGGAGGCCGGCCCTGCACCCCAGGCCCCAGGGCCCGTGGCAGGTGATAACATAGCTAACCACCCCACTGGCACCACCCCTGGCCTAAGGAAGGACAGAAGTCACCGCCTGCTATGTGTGTGTCCCACTGGCTGCTCCTCTGGGCTCACAAGAGTCCCCCGAGTCCTGTGAATTCCACGTTTCAGGGTCACTTCAGTTGAGACCCTAACCCTTTCGGGCACCTGTCCCCAGGGGAACGGCTGCCTTGAGCAGGTAATGGGCACGTGAAACGCGCTGCTGCCACTGCCTCCTCAGGGCAGTCCCCCCTGCAGGGAGGAGATGGGGCGCCTGGTGTCCAGGAGCCTCTCCAGGGAGTGTGGGGCGCTCCTCACTGAAAACAGGCGCTTGCTTTTCGAGGGAGATGGCCCCGTGACACAAGCCCTCGGGACGCGCTCTTTGCGGGGCCTGCCATGGCTCCATGCGCCTGCCTCGGGCTGTGATACTTCTTTTCTGCTCAGGTGATGATGCGCTTCCAAATGGGTTAGATGTGACCTTCGAGGTCACGGAGCTGCGGAGACTGACGGGCAGTTACAACACCATGGTCGGGAACAACGAGGGCAGCATGGTACGCACGGCCCACCCCGGGGGCCCTCTCCATCACGAGCTGTAAAGACTGATGGTGGTTTCTTGGCTCCCATCCCTCCATCTTTATATGTAAGGTGACCCGTGGTTGCTCGTTGATCTAGAATTATTTATCGGCTGTCTTGCTTGTTTGAAAGCAATTTTAGCATCTGTAGTTAACTAGGAATGACTTGGGGGCTGTGTGTATTCAGCTCAGCCAAACTCCACACCCACAGAGTTGATTCCCCGAGTGTCACGCAGAGCACCGTCAGCCCGTCCTGGACAGTCCAGGGCATGACATGCTCCCGTCATTCCCAAGAGGAGCCGTGGGGGCCTGGTCTGTGTTACAAGTCACGCTTCCTTCCTCTGAAGACACCTGTTTCTTTCCTCCCAGGTTCTTGGCCTCAAACTGCCCAATCTCTTGGGCCGGGCAGAAAAGGTGACTTTTCAATTTTCCTATGGAACCAAAGAAACTTCATATGGCCTCTCCTTCTTCAAACCACAGCCTGGACACTTCGAAAGAAAGTAGGAAGCCAGACAGCCCGTTGAGTACAGTGGCCTGTTTAAAGTTAAAGTAGATGGCTTGTGTGTGGGAAGGAACTTTCCAGAATCAGCTGGCGCGCCTGCGGTGTTACAACTTGCCATAGCTCCTCGTGAAGATGAGCCCCAGAAGCATAGTTTAAACCTGTTGATTTAAATGTGTACACGTTGTAACCGCTGTCTCAGCTTTTAAAGCTCTGTCCCGTTGTCTCCTAGTTTCTCTGTAAACTTATATAAAGTTACTGGACAGTTCCCTTGGAGCTCTCTGCGCGAGACGGACAGAGGCGTGTCGGCCGAGTACAGCGTGAGTAGCATTCTGCTCCTTCTCTTGTGCAGACCCACCCGAGCTTGTTGACTGGAGAGATGGAAGAGGCTGGGCCAGGAGTGCACGGGCGTGTCGGGACGGGTGCCAGACCGGCCACATGGTGGCCGCTCCCCCTCTGTGCTCGGCCTCGCCTCCTGGCTGGGCCCTCCGCTGGCTGGGCACAGGCTGCAGGGCTGGAGAGCGGCTGACATGCACACGGGCCCCTCCTGTGACCTTTGGCCGGCTCTGCCCTGCCCTGCCCTGGACTTCCCATGACCCCTGTGGCCTTCCTCAGATGTGCTCGGTGCGTAGCTTGAGGCCGCCGCACGGCGCCGGCCTGGCCTTCAGAGTACTGACCGCCGCGTGGCTCGGGCTCTGTGTACTGCCGGCAGGCTCCAGCTAACCCCAGCGAGCCAGTTCCTGGCTTTCTGATGCACCTGTTGTTTCATTTTCCTTCCTTTCTCTGCTTGCCCTTAGTCCTCCCGCCGTCTGGGCTGCAGTGAGTGAGGCAAGCCCTTGTGACGCGGTGCTGTTCTGCCCCCAGCCTGCTCTCCAGGTGGGCGGCATTGGCCTCGCCTGCGTGCACTTGTTAGAGGTGCCAGTCCACAAGCCCACCTGCCCTGCCAGTCAGCATGGCCGTTGGCAGGTGCCCCGTCCCACAAATCTGCCCGAGAGCCTGCAGGAGTCCCTGCTGGGCTGGGCTCCGCAGGGCGCCGGACATGCAAGGGGCGGCACCTGCAGGTGCAGTGTGGACGGGATCGCCCACAGCCTCTGCTCTCCCCATCCTCTCGCCCCCATGGCCACCTGTCCTGGTCCGAAGGGGTTGCCCTCTGACACCTTGCTGCCCTGCTGTGGCGTGCGGAAGGGCCCGGCAGGCCTGCTCCCTCCAGCAGGTCTCAGGCCGGCGTTTGGGAGCCTTCTCTTTCTCCCCTGTGCCCCACTGTCGCCTCTTTCTAAGCCTGTTCCCAGAGCAGATTCTTAGGCGAGTGGGGCCACCCTCTCTGACCACATGGAGCGGGGAGGCGAGGCCTCGGGGTGCGGGAATGGGGGGTTGGCTTTGCAGGGGGTAGGGAGGCAGGGGGCAGCCCTGGAGGTGAGAGCGGTGAGCCTCTGGGGACAGGACCGTGTCCACAATGTGTGTCCTCAGCGCCCACACAGGCCAAGGCTCCCTCTGAGTGGGCGCCGTCTGGCCACCGCCTCGTCCTCCTGTCAGTGAACCCAGAGACAGCAGCTGTGTCTCCCAGTGGCGGTGTTCCTCTTGTTAAAAGCTGCCTGGTGAGAAAGGAGGCGAGGACGTAGGTGAGCCCTCCGCCCCGCTGCCCTTTGGGAAATGGCTGACCTCAGGAGGCCCCCGGCGCGGGGGTGGCGGGTGAGAGGACTGCCCTCCCGGCGCTGGCAGGGGCCTCGTGGTCGTTCGATAAGTAGTTGTGTTGAGGTGGGTGCCCCAAGTTCTCGTCCTACAAACTGGATGGGGCGTCTGGGCTGTCCCCCCACCCGCTGGTGACCTTTAGTTCTCCTGCAGGTCTAAGGCTCATTGGGGGCTGCGCTGGCTTCCCGTCAGGGTTATGTCCTCAGCCCTGAAGCTGCCAGGGCACAGGCTCCCTGTTCGAGCCCAGCACGGGTGTTTCCCAGAGCACCTCGGACGGCTGCCTGGCCTGGGGGAGGCGGGGCAGGCCCCAGTGCACGGGCGTTGGGCCCCTGGCGCGGGCTGGACTTGCTCATTCATGCGCCTCCGTCCCCTCCGCGGGCGAAGCCTAGGTCACCTGGCGAGGCTTCGGATGAGGGGTCAGAAGGACCGGTGGGGGTGTCTGGTCATCTCAGGGGTCGCCCTGCACAAAGGGAAGGGAGGAAATTTGTGATGACGAGGCCGTGTAGGCCGCCCAGACACTCGCTACCACATGCTCTGTGTCCCCCGTACCCCCCGCCTCCCCCCATAGTGACAACACGAGGCCGGGGTCAGGCCTGAGCAGGCCCTCACCTCCCGTGTGCTTCGCAGTTCCCCATCTGGAAGACCAGCCACACCGTCAAGTGGGAGGGCGTGTGGCGAGAGCTGGGCTGCCTGGCGCGGACGGCGTCCTTTGCCGTCAGGAAGGAGAGCGGGCACTCCCTGAAGTCCTCTCTCTCGGTAAGGCGGGTGCGTGCGTGTTGGCTGGGCGCTCGGCCGCCTGTGCCCCTGAGCCCTGGGGGACCGTCCCCCCCATACTGGGCAGAGGGCCAAATCACAGGCGGGGCCCTGGCCACTGCGAATCTGTGGTCATGGCCCTTGTCGATTTTTCCTGAGTACCAGCAGCGGAGATGGGAAATGGAAATGTGGAATTTTCGCTTCCAAAACCCCTGACGGAACTGGGCATCCAGCTCCTCAGGACCAGCCGGTGCGGGGTTGGACTCCTCCCAGGGGGCGGGCCGGTTCCTTCCACCAGAAAGGGCTGCCCCGCTGCCCTCCACGGGTAGAGGAGGGAGTGAGCCCACCCGGCTGGCATGGGGGTGGGCGGGGCGCGGTGGCGTCTGTCAACGAAACACATGGGAGCACCCGCCCCACCTCCCCCAGCACGCCATGGTCGTCGACTCTCGGAACTCGTCCATCTTACCCAGAAGAGGCGCTTTGCTGAAGGTGAACCAGGTGAGTTCCTGATTTTCTTTTTTAAATACCTTGTTTAAAATTTGGCCCCACCAAGCCCATCACCCCTGCGTGCTCTCGGGAACTGCTCTGCGGTCACTGTTCACGTGGTGACCCCGGGCCGCCCCAGGGCAGCGGGAACGCCGCCTCTGCCCAGTGGGCCCAGTGGTTTCTGCAACGCGGAGCTGCTGCCGCCGAGGTGGCTGCTGTGTGGGCGTGAGGCAGCGCTCGGCCGTCTGTTGTATTCATCTGAGGCTTCTCCCCCACCAGGAGCTGGCGGGCTACACTGGGGGAGACGTGAGCTTCCTAAAAGAGGACTTTGAACTTCAGGTGAACAAGCAACTCGTGCTGGATACGGTGAGTATCTAGCCAGTGTTGTCACCTGTATTTTAATCCCGCGCCGTTGGAACAGTTCTAGAAATCTCAGCTCACACGAAGCCTCCGTGCTGGTCCTGACGTCGAGCCAGAACAGAGTTCGCTCTGGGAGAAGGGCCGTAATTCCCTTTGGAGGGCACTGCTCCTCACTCCCCGTGGGCCCACAGAGGCCCCTCCAAACTTCAACCGTCATCTCGGGGAACAAGCGGCCGGCAGGAAATGTGACTGGAGAACAGGGCGGCCTCTGTTCCTCCAAGGCCATGCCATGAGTTCTGAGTCTGCTTCGCTCGGCTGGGTGTGTGGGGCTCCGGCGCTGCCAGGAGTCTCCCTGAAATCCAATTCGGGTTTGTCCCCCCGATTCAGGGAGTAAGTGGTCGCAGGTGGGTGGGGATGGCCCTTTGTGCCCCACTGTTGCCCTTCTCGGCTCCCTCGAGACTTGGGGTGGAGCAAGTGCTGGCAAGACCCGATGCATCTGCCTCAGGCCAGGCAGATGTGGGGGCCAGCGTGGTGAGGGCCTAGTGGGTGAGGCCTGACCGCATCGTGGTTATGGCACATGGGTGGCCCGGCCTGCAGGTGGGAGGCTGGGAGCCCGGGTCTGCTTCTGCCCGGGGTGCGCTGCCATCCTCCTCCCTTCGGCCTGCAGCACCCTCTGCCCCGCCCTGTGTGTGCTGAGGCCAAGCCTGAGGGCCTGGGTGGATTCCACGGCCCTGGGCCCTTGGCCGCCCCCATCACCCTGGCTTGTCCTGATGGGCTGGGCTTCCCGGGAGGAGCGGGCACTGCCTCACCTCTGAACGAGCCATACCCGGCGTTTTGTGCTAGTGTCGGGTGCGGGGTGTGTCTGGACTTGAAGTTGCGGGTGTCAGCGGCGTCGCGGGGCACTGGCGCTGAGGCGGGCTCGGGGCCGTGAGCAGGTGTGTCTCTGCAGGTGTTTTCAGCGTCTCTCTGGGGCGGGATGTTGGTGCCGGTCGGCGACAAGCCCTCGAGCATCGCGGACAGGTGAGTGCGGCGGCCACGTGGCCCTCTCCGTTGCTTCATTATCGGGGGGGTTCAGAGACTGTATTTAAGAAGAGATTTCAAAGCACAGAAACTGTCTTTTTTGTGCTTAAGCTAATTTCAAAATACCCAGATGCTTGATGTTTCCTGCTTATTCGAGAAGGAGCAACAAGCTTACTTTATTACATTGAAGAATTTGCATTGTTTTCTTTTGATTTTGAAAAAGCACAGCCCATAGAGATGGCAGGAAAGTAACAATAGGGAAGCACTTGAGAAGGTAAAAAGGAAAATCCGCTCTGGACTCAGCGGTCAGCATCGGAGCCGTTGGCTGCGCCTGCGGCCGGGGGCGCGGGGCTCACCGCCTGCGCCTGCCCTTGCTCATACGCCGCGTCTTCAGCGTGGATTTGTGTCCTCCCTGCTTTCTGAGGAGTTTAAAGACATTCGGAATGACCTTTGCCCACATCCCGGAGCCGCGGCGCGGGGCTTGTGACAGCGACGGGCTGCAGAGAGGGCGACTGCAGTCGTTCCTGAGAGGCTCCTAAGTGTGGGGTCACGATCTCAAAGGAATGTGAGGCTCAGTCAGGCTCCTAGAGGGCTGGGCTGGAGCCACATTACCCCGCGGCCCTGTGAAGCCGCTCTGTCTGCCTGTCGCTTTGAAGTGCTGGTTGTCCCCAAGGCTGGGGAGCCCCTTCCGTAACCGCGCGCCCTTGAGATGTTGCTTAGCGTGAACCCGCTCCGTGCCCTGGGAGGCGGCGAGCGAGTGCATCTTCAGTTTCTCAACTCTGAGCCTGACGGACGCCTGGGAGTGTGCAGAGGCCGTGGGCCAGGACGCCGGGATGGCAGGCGGGCGCAGATGCCCACTGTGAAGAAGCCCCCCGCTTGTTCGAAAGAGTGAGACGGATGAGCCTAGCGAGAACCACCTCCCGGAGCATTTAGTTGACGGGGCCCGGGTGCGCGTGTGCGGGGTGTCGCACCCCGGTCTGCAGAGTCAGACACCAAGGCTGTGGCTGGGCAGGGGCGAGGGCACATCTCCCTGTCCATGCTTCCTGGGCGTCTTTGCTCTTCCCCAAGAGGAAGTGTGCGGCGGGGTTTCAAAGGATAGTAAGCGGCGCTGCCGCCTGTTTCCGCAGCTGACACTAGTGGGGCCGCGGGAAGCCTTTGGCAAGAAACCCCGACGGATTCGCAGACTTCAGTCTCCAGGTCAGCTGAGCACTGGCGTGAAGGCTTCTGTGGTCCTGCCCTGTGCCTTCGCGCCACCTCAGGCTGGGGCCGCGCGGAGCAGGGAGAGGCGGCCCGAGCTCTGTGGCCCCAGCGGGGGCTGCTTCCTGGCCGCGACGGTGCAGACTGTCCCTGGCCTTCTCGGGCCCTACGCGGGGATTCCTGCCCGGAATTGCGCTCTCCTAAACTGTCCAAGTTCCCAGACCATGGCTAGGCCTGCTGAGTAATAGTTCACGCTTCTCTTTTTGTTCAGGTGGAGTCGAAAGGGGTGTGCTACCCCAGTCCACGAGGAACGTGAGAGGCGTTCACTTTTCCGGATTGTGATTCTTTCCTTTTTTCTAACTAAGAATCATCGTACGAAACACCGGCGCGTTTGCGGGGCCGTGACTCCATTTTGGCCTGTCTCCAGGTTCCGCGTCCTCCCCTCTGTAACGTCAGGGCCGGTCCTACAGGATCCTCACTGTGAGGCTAGGAGGTGGTCTGGAAGGGCCACGTGGGAGACCTTAGATGGCAGGGACAGCCGCGGACGGGGCAGCCGCCCTCTTTCCTGAGGCTCGTGCTGGTGCCTGCCTCTCCCCTGCGTCCCCTGGAGTTTGAAGTGTTTGCTCAGACTGTGGTAAAATTCCCTGGCTCCGTGCATCTCCTGACCCTTCAGCACTGCTCACGTGCGGACGCCCACAAGCCAGAGCTGACGGCGCCGGCTCCCGGCTGTGACCCTTTGTGGCTCCCCACTGACGTCTGCCCTTCTCTGCAGGTTTTATCTCGGGGGACCTACGAGCGTGCGGGGGTTCAGCATGCACAGTGTCGGGCCGCAGAGTGAAGGTAGGTCTCCCGCGACGCGCGGCCTCCGCTCTCGGCTCGGCTCACGCCTGCGCTGGGGTGCCAAGGAGTGAGCCCGCCAGGCCGGCACGCCCAGCAGAGAGCTGAGGGAGTTGTAGGAAAACGAGGGCACATGTGGAAGCCACAAGCCCATGCTGTGGTCGCCTGCCTCTCAGGGCGCACACCCCGAGGCAGCAGGGTCACAGCTAGATGGCGTGAACCGCTGACCACCGCGACGTAGGCCGGGTATTTCTCAGTGGCCCAAGTTAAAGGGCGTTTCTGGTTTCTTCTCCCGTCCTCTATTTAGCCGATATGTTGCGGTGGGTAGAGAATACCTTTCTGATCAGAATGTAAGAGATGATTTAAGAAAAGAGAGGGCCGGGTCTGTCTTGCCTGTTTCTCTAAAACTTTATTTAGTTAAAGAACGAGGAGACGCAGCCGCCTTGGGAGGAAGCAGCCCCTCGTCCCCCGAGGTTCACCTTGGAGGGGTTTTCTTTTTGGGGCCTGTCCTGGTTACGGGCACTAAGGCACTTGAGAAATGCCAGCACTTAGGACTGCTGCCGGACAGTGGAGTGGCGCCCTCAGGCCCTGCGGATGAGCACGCTCGGCCCTTAGTCTCGCGTTTTGGCAGAAGCCACCTGGGTCCACGGGGCAGCAGACCCAGTGGAGGTGGCCCGGGAAGGCGGCGTCTCCTCCGCGGCGCTGGGCGGGCATCTGTGGGGCTACCTGCTCGGGCCATAGGCCTGCAGGAGCCAGTGCCCGTCTGGTGTGGTCTGGATGTGGGGCGTCTCGCCTGCAGGGGAGGTGGGTCTCGTCCCCGAGCACATGGGGTTCATGAGCAGCCCTGGCCTCGTTCCAAGCGTTGCAGATACAGTCACTGAGTCGTTCTTGCTGACCCGCCCCTCCCACCCCCTCCACACCCCCCATTAAAGCAAGAACAGGACAGATGGGAGGAGAAGGGAGACTGAAATGAGCCCCTACCCCACCTCCGGGCCCAAGAGGCTTGCCCGGCTCCCTGTGGGCACAGCCAGGCCTGGGTCGAGCCGGGGCGCGTGAGGCTGCACCTGACAGCCTGTTCCACTCCTTGACAGGAGACTACCTGGGCGGAGAGGCGTACTGGGCCGGTGGCCTGCACCTGTACACCCCGCTGCCCTTCCGGCCAGGCCGGGGCGGCTTCGGAGAGCTCTTCAGGACCCACTTCTTCCTCAACGCGGGCAACCTCTGCAACCTCAACTACGGTGAGAGCAGCCCAGGGCCTTGGCACAGCCACTTCGGGTGGAAAAGCTGAGCATGGAGCGGGCAGATGCAGACCAGCGTCTTAGAACGCCTGCAGCCCCGGAAGGGCCCGAGGGACGCTTACGGCTGGATGAGTGCAGGGCCGTGAGACGGGCCCTCTGAGCCGTCACGCAGGCACCCGCTCTGGGCCGGGCCTCGGGGCCCACATTGCGTGGGGTTCAGGCCCCCCCCCAGACCACTCGGGCCAGAGCAGACGCACGGCAGGCACCTGGGTGGGGCGTGAGAAGAGCCATCTTCACAGCAGGCGGGCCCCGGAGTGAGGGCTGCCTGGTGTCCGGGATGGGGTGCCCTGCGAGCAGAGCAGCCCCGGATGCTTCGGGGACAGTGAGCGAGGCCCCAGGCCTGTGGACTCGCCGGGGCATTCTCCTTGAGTTCCGGACCTGGCCTTCAGCGTCCCCAGAGACCACGTGGCAGGAGGAGCAGGGCTTGTCTGAGGACCTTTGGTGGGTCCTTGGGAAAGGTCTGGTCACACCCCCTCTCCTCTTCTCAGGGGAGGGCCCCAAAGCTCATCTCCGCAAGCTGGCCGAGTGCATCCGCTGGTCTTACGGTGCCGGGATCGTCCTCAGGCTGGGCAACATCGCCAGGCTGGAGCTCAACTACTGCATCCCCATGGGCGTGCAGAGCGGCGACAGGTAGGCACAGCGCCCCCCCCTCCAGCCCCCTCCCCATCGCGCTCTCCGGTGGGCACCTTGTTTTGAACACGCTCATGGTTTCATGTGGGGGATATTGACTGGCTGGCAAAAGGCTGAAAAGGAGGCACAGATTTCTCCGTCTAGTCGAGAGGGGAAATGGGATGTTCTGCACCCACTGTTCGTGCCCGTGGCTGCCGCCTCCAGAGAGCCTCGCGGGGCAGGCCGGGCCCCAACGGGTGACCTTGCAGGCTGGGGGCTCGGGCCTAGGGGAGAGGCTGGCTCCCCGCCGCAGAGCCTGGTCCCAGCGCCTTCCCAGTGCGGGTGTCCCCCACCTTGGCCTGTTGCCACCAGTCGCTTTACTCAGCGAGAGTTGAGTGTTCCACGGGCGGGGGTGGCAGGCCAGCACGGCTGCAGAATCAGCTCCATTTCCTACGTTACGTGGTACACGTCGTGTAGACCTTAGAAACTGGAGGCGCTGCCCCGTGGCGCGTGCCAGTCCGTGCTGTGACTGGACACGGCTGGGGCGTTGCTGCAGGTGCCTGGGGGCCGGGAAGGCTGAGGCCTTCGGGTCGGGGGCCTGGGGGCCGCCTTCCGGTTTGTTGGTGGCATGTTCTGTGCCTCACATGGTGGGGCAGGTTAGCCCTTGGGGTCTCCTCCCACAAGGACCTCACCCCTCGGGGGACCCCACCTGCATAGCTGTGCCTGGTGACCTCATCCAGCCCAGGACCCCCCAAAGGCCCCGCCTCCCAGCTGCGCAGGGGTGGGGGTAGGTCCACGACCGTTGCTGGGGAACAGCCACCTGCTGCGACAGAGCTCGCTTCCCGTCCTGCTCGCGGCCGCGCCTGTGGGCTCAGCGCCCCGAGCTGTGGGTTTTCCTCTCCGGCGGTCTGGCTACACCCTGTTGCCATCAACGGCGGCTGAGTCATCGCCCAGTTTCCAGCGAGAACCTGTAGCTCGTCCTCGCTGAGGAAACACCGCCGCTCTCCTCCTACCCTCCCTGCACGTGCGGCCTGGTGCTCAAGTGCCGGCCGGCTCGCGCCTCTCGGGCCCGCCAGGCCTCCTGCTTTTCCCTCTGCAGCAAAACAGCCGTGGCACCCGCCCCCTCGGGAAGGGGATGAGGTCAGGGGCTCTTGGCACCCACTGGGCTGTCTGCTGGGGGGGTGTTAACTGCAAGGACAGAAGGTGTCTCCCCCTGCTTGGTCTCCTGGTGGGACAGCCCACGAAGTTTTAATCTTTGACTTCCCCGTCTAGAGCACACGGGCTGTTTCCGTGACGATCAGCGGGTGCCTGGTGCCCGTTCAATAGAAGTCCGGGCGGCACCAGCAAATACACTATAAATGCTTCTCACCGCAGAGAAAAGCAGCAGCGCCCGTGGGCTTTAGCCGCTGTTGAGTGCCCCGGGAATAGCCCTCAGCAGCGAAGATGCCCTGCTGCCCCCGGCCGGCTGGCCCTGGCACCCCCTGCCAAGTCCGGCGGCCACCTGTTCCTCAGCCTGAAAGTGGGGCGCACTCACCCAGGCGCTGGCTGGAGGGCGGGTGGGTGCAGTGCCCGGGGTGGCCACTGGGCGTCAGTGCGCGCCGAGAATCGCAGGCTGCTGAGGGCGGCGTCACCTTCCAGCTCCCGGCCCCTGCTCCCCCCACCCCCCCCACCCCCGCCGGGGTGAAATTTGAAAACCATGTTTCGGAGATTCATTTCAAACGTGGCTTCTGGAGGAAGGAAGACGCTGGCTGTGCTCATAATAGCCGAGCGCGGAACAGGGCAGCCCGGTGGCGGGTGGGCGTGGCAGACGGGAGGCCGCGGCCCTCGGGGAGCACCTCGAGCGAGGGGTCCTGCTGGGGCGCTGGGGGTACCGCGCAGACCGCTGGGTTCACATCTGCCTTTTTTCAGGATCTGCGATGGCGTCCAGTTTGGAGCCGGGATACGCTTCCTGTAGCCGACAGGCGCGGTGTCCTCTGCCCCTCGGGAGAAGCTCGGGGCTCGGCAGCAGCGAGTCCCACGGTGCCACACGCTTTCTCCAAGGCCTTGGAGGGCGTCCTGGTGGGAGCCTGGCAATAAATTTTAAAGACGGACGCCCGATGCTGTGTGGGTGTGATTGTGCCCGGCGGCTCCCCCTGGGGCCCACGGGGTGGCGCCCTCCACACCGCCGGTCCTGGCCCCACCACCCTCTTCCCCCCAGACCCTGGGTCTCCATGCTGGGGCCTGAGCCCAGACACCCCAGTCCGCAGTCACGGGAGGGTGCGCCCCAGAGGGTGTTGGCCACACGGGAGACGGGGCGGGGAGGTGCATGGGGAGGAGGACCCTGCGCCGGGGCACCGAGGCAGAGGGGGACGCGTGTTCTCGAGAGCCGGAGCAGCTTGGGGCTGGGCCCCAAGTGACCCCTAAGCCCCGCGGATTAAAGCAACACGAGGTCCCTGCGGAGCCTCTGGGGGTCTGTTCCCGGCCTTTTCCAACTTCCAGAAGCACCTGTGGTCCTTGCCTGGAGCCCCTCCAGTTTCCCAGGCCGGCAGCCCGCCCTCCCCGCGCTGCTGGGACCCTGGAGGCGGCGCCCCCTGGGCCGCACTGGCCGAGCCCCGCCTGAGCCCCGCCTGTTGCAGAGCGAGCTCGTGGGGTCGTCCACCCGCCACACCTCACCTGCGCCTCGGGAGCCGTCTTCAGTGTATCCTTCAGTGGAAAGCTTTTTTTTTAATTAAGCCTGAAATCTTCAGAAGGTGGCACCACGTGGACGTGTCCAGGGTCACAGCGGACGCCCAGCCAGGCCTCAGCTAGCGGGCGAGCTGGTCACAGAACCAGCCAGAGGGCTTGGGCCGGCACAGCCTCAGGGGATACGGGCCAGCTCAGCCTCAGAGGGCTCAGGCTGGCCTGGCTCGGGGCTGCCCTCAGCTCTTGTGCTGGTCTCCGTGGAGCGCATCCCTGGGCTGGCTGCAGCTGGACACGTCCGAGGAGGGACAGGTTGAGGGGGACAGCTGTCAGCGGATGAGCCCTGGTCAGGAGCACCGTTCTCGGCCCTCCAGGGCCTGGTCACTCCTTTCCCTGGGCCTCTGTTTGTCCTCACTCAAAGCAGAACGCTGGGTGCAGGGGGTTCCCAGACCCTGGGCGTGCCCCCGGGGGCTCCTGCAGCTTCTGCCCATGGGGTAAATGCTGGCAGCCCCACAGGTGGTTCTGCTGTTTTTTACTGTGAGTGCAAGGAGAGGACAGGACTCGGTTCAGCTGGGACTCGCGTCCCCGCTCCGTCCTGACCAGGCGGCACTTTCTGGTGCGGGTGTCACGTGCCCCCAGAATGTTCTGTCAGGCCAGCAAGCACCGTTTGCCAAATATTCATGTTGCCGATGATCTCACGTGGCCTCCCAGTGGGCAGCTTGTTTACCACGGCCAAATGTCTGAACCCCAGGAACAATAAACCTACGGGATGCACGGAGAGATGGCTCGAGAGCCCTGCGCTGTCGCGGGATGGAGGGCCCCCCAAGAGCTCTGCTTCATGTGGGCTGATCCTGAAACATACTGGAAATCAAAGCTGAGAATTTTTAAAGTATATTATTTCAAAATAACAAACTCATACTTGTTAATATAAGGAACATTTTATGAAGTGTATACCCCCCCCCCCAAAATAAAACCAGAGAAAAGAATGGCATTGATTTGCAATTTGGCAAATCTTGTAAATATCCATCTTCAGAGACAGATGGCGCCTCACAGCTGCTTCTGCGTCTGACTGGCTGCCTTGGAGCCGATGGACGTCTGTGCTGAAACCGCCCTCGCGGGCGTGTGGCTGGGAAGAGGGGAGTGTTTAATGGCATTCAGATAACTGGGGGCTGTTCTTGGGCACGTGTCCCCGGGGGTCGCTTGTGAAAGGCTATTGTGATTTGAATCTGAAACTGGCTGTTCCCACTTGGTGACGCTCGGGCCGACGGGTGCTGGGACAACCTCGCTCCGGCCACCTGTGCGGGGACAACCTCCTCTTGGGCCACCTGTGCCGGGACAACCTCCACTCGGGCGTGGTTCTGTGACCGAGGTGTGCTGATCTCTCCAGGACTGACAAGGCCGTGCGAAATCAAAGCGCGACGGATTCATCATCCCCGTCTCGCCATAACAGCTTTCCCGTGTGGGGACGTGATGTTTTTTTGTTCTCATAACAACGTGTTGAAGCCCCAGCTAAGCTTTCATTTACAAGCAAATATTTTCAGGGGGGACGAAATCACAAGACAGTATTTTCAAATGTTACACCATCTACGTAGACTTCAACTTGCAGAATTTGCAAATTACCGTTTTGAGCAGACGGACGTCCTTCTGTGGGCTCCGGTCGACAGCATCTCAGAACCCGCAGGCACGAGTGGGGCGTCTGCAGTCTGCGCAGGGCCAAGCGCGAGGGGGCGGCCACGGTTTCCCCAAATTCCAGTTTGCTCTTGAAAGCCCCCGTGTTGTCACAGGCCGTCGGGAGCTCCCCTCCCTCCAGGAACTGCCTGTCGGGTCCCCAGGCCGCAGAGCTGCGTCTGTGTCCTTCAGCCCGAGAAGCTGGCATCCAAGGCGGGGAGCGGCCGCGTGCTGGACTCAGCCAGACATCCTCAGAGCCGGGCGTCCTGCGCAGGCGGGCCGGGGCCGGGGTGTGCCGGCGTCCCCGTCACCGCTCCCCGCCCACCTGCCACCGCCGGCCAGTTTGCATCCTGAACACAGGCCTCACCCCGGGAGCCAAGTCACTGACAAACACCTGTGGGTTGTGCCACAAATTGTTATGACCTCACTGACCCCCCTGCAAGTCTCAGGGATCTTTAGGGGTCCCTGCACCATCTGAAAGCAGCTTCAGGCTGCTTCAGGCAGGGGGTCCTCCCGCGTGTGTTCTGGCAGGGCACTCGAGGCTCTGACGGCCCTGAAAGGAGTGACAAGCTGGGCACGTGAACCCCCTTTTTGCTACCAAGAAAAGGTCTCCCCCACCCTCGCTTCTCTTTTCCGTGAAATGGGGCGAGTGGGCCCAGGGGTAGAGGAATTTGGAGAGCGCCTGGCGCCCGGCAGGATGGTCGCCCCGCTGGGATGGAGGAGGCGGATGGGCTCTCTCCGGAGGGTCAGGCCCATCGGGGAGCAGCATCCAGGGGCACCTGGGCCTCTGCACGGGCGTCGCTGCTGCTGCAGAGAGCCCAGGGGACGTGAGCTGTGCAGGGCCAGGCTGAGGGGGCGGGCGGGTGTCCGAACACCCCTTCGGGGGGCTGGCAGGAGTCATCCTGTGCCTCCTCCTGCCAGAGTGTGGCTACCTCTGGGGCACGTTTCTGACAAGGACAGGCCCTTGCGGAGGCATCAGGCCCCCTCGGGGAACAAAGTGTGACCGTCCTGGAGACGCGGTTGTCTTGCTCGGGAAGTGAACAGTCACCGCTTTTGAAAAGAAGGTGCAGGCTGGGGCCACCCCGCTGCACACTCCCCGCTCCCGGCCGGTTCTGTTCCCTTTTTCAGTCAGTCTCTCGGGGGGAAGCGTCTCCTCACTGATCGCTGGAGAGTGTGCGGCCAATTTAATATTCCGACTTTGCAGGGCTGAGATAGTGGCGAGTCTGGGCGTCCGTCACGGTGAGTAGAAGGTGACCTCCCTGGATTGAGCCGGGCCCCCCCAGCCGCCCCCGTCTAATTACCGTGCCAGAAGCCGCCGCTCATCTGCATGGGATGTCCCCGCGCGGTGGGCGGGCGGCGGGCGGCGGGGGGCGGGCGCTGGAGCATGATGAAGACTCCGGTGCAGCCTTGACGTCGCACGGGTGGGGGGGGGGCTGGAGACGGAAACGGGGGCTGGGAGCGGCGCCGGTGAGGGCCAGGCAGGGTGGGCGCTGGAAGTGCGGGCAGAGCCGTGAGCCCAGGCGGACACGTGCGCGTGCCGGCGGAGCCGCCTCCAGGCTGGCCCTTCCCATCCCCTGCTGGCCCTGGGCCGGGCCCAGGCGTTTCCTGTCTGAAGCGTCTTCCTCCCAGCGCTTCCGGAGGGACAGGAAGCTGTCTCAGAGGACGGCGTGTGCCTGGGCGGCAGGGCCGGCCTGGGCTGCGCCTCTTGTCCTTCGCCTGTGCGCTCACTCAGCGTGCAGGGCGCTGGCCTCTGGGCGCCCAGGCTCAGCTCGTTCCTCACCTTCAGGCCCAGGCGGGCTGTGGCTATGCCTGTCCTGGTCTAGGTGCCAGGAGACGCTTCTCGGAAGAGGGCGCCTGAGCTGAGGCCCGAGCACCAAGTGGGAGTGAGCCGGCAGGGGAGGTTTCGGGAGCCGCGCTCCAAGGAGAGGCAACAGCAGACGCAACGGCTTAGGTGGAAAGAAGCTGGGCTTTTGCAGGAACTGAGAGACGGTCACTATATTAGTCAGAAGTTTCCAGAAACAGAGCCCAGGGGAGGTTAGATATAGGTGTAGACACAGGCGAGATTCATCACAGGAACTGGCTTGTGCAGTTATGGAGGCTGAGAAGCCCCGACCTGCAGGAAGGAGGCCGGGAGGCTCGGGGAGCGGCTGGTAGAGGCCTGAGACCCCGGGAAGCTGCCACTGCGGAGCCCGGGGTGAGGGCAGGAGGCGTTAAGACGCCCCAGCTCAGCCGCAGGGCAGGAAAGGGCAACCCTGCCTCCCTCTTCGTTCTGCTCAGGCCTGAGTGGATTCAGGGGTGAGGCCCCTTTTTGGGGTGCAGTGAAGGAGCAGTCTGGGGTGCAGTGAAGGAGCAGTGGGTGCAGCTGGCATTTAGTCTGCTCTGAGGGACGCAGAGGGCCCCCATGGTGTGGGTGGGCTGCGTCTCATCAGTTGAAGGCCCGAATTGCAAACAGGGTTTTCTGAGGAGGAGGAATTCTGCTCCGTCACGCATGGGATGGGGTCCCCTAGTTTCCAGCCTGAGACTCCAGACTCAGCCTCCGCAGTCATGGGACCTTCAAATCCCTGGGCCTCCCTGTCTCTGCCTTCTGTCTCTGTATCTAGAGACGCGCACGTGTGTGTTATTATTTCTAGTTGGTTCCCCTGGGAGCCTGCAGCTCTTGCCTGGTCCTCGGGGTGTAAGGCCTGACTGGAAAGGGGCTCCCCCTTTGCATGTCACTCTTGTCAGAGACAAGTAAGCCCCACCTTTTCTGGGCTTGAGTTTCCCAAAGGGGGGAAAAGCCCACCGAACTGG